ATCACTGTTTTAAATATCGGCCGATAACCGATATTATCGGCCGAGTTATCGGATTTGGGAGCTCTCCGATAGGATAACTTGGATTTTTAATCGGTTATCGTTTTTGGCAAGTTATCGGGGAGTTATCGGCGTTATCGGTACTTATCGGCCGATAAGTAAGGTTTTTTTATCGGGATTATCGGCCGATAAGTAAGACTATGCAATCGAATGGTTTCATTGTGCGGTCAAGATATAAGTTTTGCTTTCTACAATTGGTTAGTGATTTTAAACATGATGATTTATATTTTGGTATGTTTATATGTCATTATGCATGGTTAGATTACATTTTTCAGTTATTATATTATATATATACACCATTCCGTATATCACTCCGATAAATACTACTTATCCCCGATATATCCCCGATTTCCGCTATCCGATAAGGATTTTGGCCGTCCGATAAATCCCCGATAACCGATATTTAAAACCTTGATTGTCAGTGGTACTCGATGCAAGGCAAGGAACCTATGATGGTCTAAGGTGGCCACCAAAGGCTAAGGAAGAAGAATAAAAGGTCGGAGAATGAAAGAGGCACAATCGTCCTATAATTTGGGAATTAGCTTTATATATTCACCCACAATAAAATGGAGAGAAATAAAGCTAGAAGTATTTGCTATAACTAGATTTTTTTATTACCTTTCTTTGGTAATTTAAGCTACATAGTATGTGGAGCGGTAAAAGGAGATACAAACTTAAGAATGAAGTGCAGCAAATAGTCCAACCAAATATTGCACCTTTTAGCTATTTCTTAATTACTTTTCAATCGCTCTAAAATAGTCATAATCATCTGAGAATGATTATTATTTTTAATTTTTAATGAAGTCAAAAATAGAAAATGCCACGTGATGTAAACCAAATGACGAACTGATGCTCATTTCATGCAACTGTTAAGAATTGTTTGATTTGCAGAAAATTACAACTTTGACCACAGTTGCAAATACAATTAATTTGCAAATGAAATTTATTTGCAAATGCCATTTACTATCAAAATGCAATTGAGAAATAGTAAGCTTTGTTTTTTGTAAAAAATCTAGTCTCCTGGTGCACGTGATGCGTGCTTGGATTTTAAGAGATTCAAAGTGTACTCTGCTCTCTTTGAAGGATAAGTCTGTTTGGGTTTCTAGATGACACTTTTAGGTTAGGAACGTAAGGGAAGCAGTTATTAGGCTTTGGGATAAGGGTGGAACCGTGGAAGCAGTTATCTTTTCTTTCATGGCCTTCCAACTTTACCCTTATGTAACCTTTAAATTATTGTAAGTTGTATGGATATTAATTGTGATTTTTCAAAAAAATCATGACACACAGGGGTATGATACCAAAAGATTGGACCAAAAGGCAGCCTTCTCTTAATAACTTGTAAAAATGACTTCTGATTAAATCGATCGCAAGTCATTGATGCAAAAACTCAAGTTTGCAAGAACATATTTATAGGAAGGCAACAGATGCAGCAATTAGATACTTCCAACTGCAACCGTGTCTGCTTTTTTGCAAATTGGAGATGTAGATACAGTTTCAATTTGCAGCAAACCAGCAGCCTTATTTTGTGCAACAATGCTATATTTATATAGTAACAAACCAAATTGCCTCTGAACATTTACAAACCTTTCCAAACACTGATTCTAAGTGCTTCATTTGAAAGTCCTTCTACATATTCTCCAAGGTACTTCCGCAGCAGATGTAATGCCTGCAATAAGCAGCAAAACTATTAATTAATTTGTCAAGTCAGCTAAAATAATAATCTACCGATCCAGCCAATTTATCATGAGATAATCTACCTCAGCCTTTCAGCAGCACATGCGTAAAAATTGTAATCTTATGTTTGATCAATATGTTCAAATATGAAATGCTAAAGAATGATATCAATCATTATGATACCGCCAACATGACTTAAATTTAAAACATAGTTCTAGGTTTCGTTTCCTGACAAGTAGCACAATCATGCACTTTCAGAGCAAAATCATCTACATAGGTTACCTTCAGCCTTTTTTAGCTGCATATGCACCCTTACATTCTAGTTCTATAGAATGTAGTATACTCCAACAGAGTACATTAAAGTAAATTAACTTGCAATATACTTTAATTAAATTGCAATATAAGCACTGAATAGCCCACTTAATATTCAAATTAGAGGCAGTCATCTGTAATGCCTTATATTGCATGGCTTAGGCGAGCGCCTGAGCACTTTTAAGTGTCTCAGCCGCTTGCTTTTGTAAATACAAAATCATCTCCCGAGCGCCTCTAAGCGCCTAAGGCACTTAGTGGGCCTCTTTAAAAGACTACTTTTCGCTAACCAAAAAAGTTCACAGCGTCCTGTGTAATTCCCAACAAAATTTGTTTACAGTATTTTCTTGCAATCCACATTTTATTTATTCATTTATTTTGGCCAAGTGTATGGTTTATACAGTAGTATTTCATCACCCAAAATTGAAAGTTACACGGGAGATTGAAAGTTTCACATGGCTGGCAAATTTTTGTCGCTAAAGTTTTGCAACAATGAACATTAAATGTTACAAAAGGCGTTGGGCAGACTAGGTATTTGAGCCAACACATAGCGCCAAGGCGTTTGCCTTTTAAATCATTTAATTATAATAATTAATAAAAATATGCATTAAATTTATATAAATTTACAAAAAAAAGATAGCAATCTTAGATCCACAATAAACTATGGATACTTAAATACTAAATAACTAAAATAATAACTAACAAGGTTATAGAAAGCGCTAGGAGGCCTAGGCGTTGGACCCCATACCTAGAGCCTAGGAGGTTTTCGTTTTCTTTTTTTTATTTTTCAATTACAATAGTTGATAGTAAATGTCAATGTTATAGAAAGCTTAGGTGCCCAACTGATATCTAGACAGATTTCTTTCTTCATTTAAGTGGTGGTCGAAGAGGTTTTGCTGAAGATCAGAGGAGGTAGTAGAGGTGTTCATATTTGGAGGTTAAAGAAGTTTGAAGGAGGTTGGAGGATATGGAAGCCACAATACTAAAAATCACGATCAAGGTCTAAAGGGTGCAGTCTATATAAGCAGACAGAAGTCCTCTAAACACTCTCAAAACCTAAGTGGACAGCTTAGGTACAGCTCAGACGCTAGATGCTAGATGCTAGTTAGGCGGCCTAGGCGTACGCCTACTAGGCAGAGCCTTTTTAAAACAGTGAATATTATAATGAATTGAGTATGCTAAATCTACAGCTAATCATCAGTCATAGAAGAAAATGGCAAATCATGAACTCAGTCAATCAAATTTAAATGAACTCCATAAACATAAATTTCAATAACAGTGATAAACCTCTAGAACCATTGTAAAGTATAGCCGAGTTCCTTAAGAAAAAACTCAAATGAGTATAGGCATCTACAGGAGCCATCAATCATTGGTACACGATTTCGTTTCTTCTTCTTTTTTTTCTTTTTTTTTTCCTTTTTTTTTTTTTTTTGGGGGGGGGGGGGGGGGGGGGG